TTTATTTTTTTTTTAAAGATTTATTTATTTATTATGTATACAACATTCTTTCCATGTATGCTTGTATGCTAGAAGAGGGCACCAGATCTCATTACAGATGGTTGTGAGCCACCATGTGGTTGCTGGGAATTGAACTCAGGACCTTTGGAGGAGCAGGCAATGCTCTTAACCACTGAGCCATCTCTCCAGCCCCAGCTTTTTTTTTTTTAACCTTCTCTTCCTGTTCGTAAGATGTCCGTATATGTCATACTGCACATTGCCACCCTTGAGGACGCCCACTGATGTCACTGCTGAATCAACAGAAATTCACAGTGCACCTAGTCAGCAGCCTGAAAGGACTTGAAATGTGTAAAGTGCTAGATAAATATTATTATTATCTTCTTTAATGTCCAGTTCAAGTTCTGCACAAAGGCAGGACCTGTGCTGTTAATTCCTGTCCTTAACTCCTGAGTGGGATAAGCCATGTGTCCTCTATTCGCATTTTTATCTCAGTATTAATACCGCTTTGTTCTGTTTTGTAATTTTCGAGAGGGTCGTTCTGTGTAGTCCAGGTCCGCCTTAGACTCCTCCCCTGCAGAACTGGTACCTCTGAGATTACTGGTGTGAGCTACCATACTCGGTAGAGTCATGTGATCAACACTTCTGAGATGGAAGCAGGAGGACCCAAAGTTCAAGTCCACCCACGGTTTCATAGTCCAAGGACAACTTGACCTATACGTGACTCTGTCTTGAAATATATGTATGTGCATGGACATGTGCATGCACACACTCGTGTGTGTGTGTCTGTATGTGCCCATGTGTGTGTGTGTGTTGGGGCTGGAGAGATTCAGAGGGTAAAACTGGTCAAGTAAGAGGACCTGAGTTCAAATCCCCACCACCCATGTAAATTCTGAGTGGGCAGGGTAATCCACTTGTAATTCCCATGTAAAAGGCAGGGACAGGGGATCCCCAGAGCAAGCTAGAGAGCTAAACTGACCACTGTCTTGATGAACAAGGTGGTGACTGATTGAGGAAAAAAAAAAAACCTGACACCATCCTTGGCCATCTACATGAATGTGCACACACAGATGCAAACAGGCACACACACCAAACACATGCAAAATATACATATATAAATACACACACCAAACACATGCAAAAACATACAAATATCCATGTTTGGTTTTTTTTAAAAAAGTTGTTTTCCTGAAGCAAAGTGAAGCATTGTTCTACTCCCCACACTTTGTTTTATTTCTAATGACACAAATATGTTTCTATGTGTAGGCATGTACGCAAGTGTGCCGGTGCCTGCAGAAGCCAGAAGACAGCGTCAGATCCCCTGGAGCTGTTTGCACCTAACATAGGTGCTGTGAACAGAACTCGGGGTCCTTCGGGAGAGCAGCAAGCATCCTTAGCCATCGAGCCCTCTTCCCAGCCCCGTGTTTCTTTCCCACACACCCCTACAGTTCTACAGTTCGAATCAAATGATGACTTGTTTCTGTGAACTGTAATTGGATTTCCGTTGTCATGGGGCTGTTGGGTTGTGTATTATTTTTGTCCTGAGTAAGTGTGGTTTGTATGATTCTAAAGGCTTGCTCCCGCCGAGAACGGGAAAGCTGATCTCCCTCCTAAGGAGTTGAAAACTTTTTTTTTAATTCCCTCAAGCTCTATTCAGATAAAACGTTTGATCGACTGTCAGTTTTTGAAAGTCTGTATTATGTCGTTAGAACTTTAAGTAGCTAGACAGAATACAGCCAGACTCTCAGAAGATGTCAAAACTGTGGTGGGTTTTTTTGTTTGTTTCTGGAGACAAGGTCATATATATATATATATTCTCCCAGGCTAACTTGACACTCGCTATATAGCCAAGGATGAACTTGCTCTTCCCATCCTCCTACCCCCTCCCAGAATGCCGTGGCTACAGGTTTGTGCCCCTGTGCCTGGATTCATGAAGTACCGGGGTTCAAATCCAGGGCCTTCTACATGCCAGGCAAACATTCTACCCACCGAGGTAATCCTTTAGCCCCTGCCTGACATGTCATTTCTTAGACAGTAATTTAACTCTGACGCAGCAAAGGCGTGCATGATCCCATCATTACAGCAGACAATTGCAAACTGCAACGGAAAATCATGTCCTAATTTTGCCACTGAGTCACCGCCTTACTTGGCCTCGGGTTTCCTGTCTGTAAAATGGGAATAATTAACACTTTCTTGTAAAATTCTCCTGAGCCTCCAAGGAAAGATCCAACAAAGGCACCAAGTGAGGTTCTATTAGTACTAATTGAAGTAAGTGTGAAATACAGCAGTTGTCTGGGTGAAGGGGGAAATCCTCACCGTCAGGGCAGGTAAGCTACGGCAGATGCCGCAGCAATTGCAGAATCCAGGCTGATTGTTTTCTTTTTCGTTTGTTTTGATTTGTTTGTTTGAAGCATTTTTATGATTTATTGTGTGTGTGTGTGTGTGTGTGTGTGTGTGTGTGTGTGTGTGCTCACAGAGTCTCCAGAAGAGGGCATTGGATCCCCCTGGAGCTGGAGTTATAGGAAGTTGTGAGCTACTTAAGGTGGCTTCTGAGAACCAACTTCAGGTCCTGTCTATGAGATGCGCTCTCGACCATCGAGCCATCTCTCCAGTCCCTCCCATGTTCTTTAAAAAATGCTTTTGGAAGCAGGGCCGTGGTGGTACACACCTTTAATCCCAGCACTCGGGGAGGCAGAGGCAGGTGGATCTCTGTGATTTCAAGGCCAGCCTGGTCTACAAGAGCTAGTTCCAAGGCAGGCTCCAAAGCTAGAGAGAAACCCTGTCTCAGGAAAAAAAAAAAAAAAGTCTTTTGGGGATGGGGGTGGAAGAAACAGACAGGGATGTCACTAATCATTCTGGAAAAACTCAACCCTACTCACTCAGCACCACCTGGGGAGTAGAACATTGTGTCAGACACTGTAAGAGACTCACAAGGGGCAGAGAAGGTCTCCACCCCGGAGTTTAACAGTTTAGAGGCTTGAAGCTTATCCTGGGCTCAGCCAGCTCCAGGGCACCTGGGCTACTGAGACACTGGTGTGTGCCTTAGTGTTAGTGCTGATCTGAGCAAGTAGCTAAGACCCATCACTGCTTGCTTATTTATTTATTTATTTATTTATTTATTTATTTATTTATCTATTTATTTATTTATTTATCTATTTATTTATTTATTTTTGTGCGTTAGTTTTTTGCCTGCATGTCTGTATGAGGGTGTCAGGTCCCCTGGAACTGCTGTTTCAGATAGTTGTGAACTGACATATGGGGGCTGGGAATTGAACCCCGTGTCCTCTGGAAGAGCAGTCTGTGCTCTTAACAGATGAGCCATCTCTCCAGTCTCCGTATTCATTATTTTACATTTCCATTTGTGTGTTTACTTGTTTGTTTTGGGACACCTGGGATTGAACCCAGGACCTTGTGTGTGTTAGCAAATGCTCTACCACTGAGCCACACAGCCAGCCTGAGGGGTCCCTAGGCAGGGGCTCTACCACCAACACACACCCCAGTTCCTCACGGGGGGGGGGGGGCTCCTAGGCTGGTGTTTTACAGTGGAGCCACGTCCCTAGACCCTGACTGGGGAATTGCAGGAAGTCTCTATCACTAAGCCACATCCCAGGCTTTGAAACTCATTCTGGCTTGGGATGAGCAAAAGAATTCGAAAATGATGGGTTCTTGAGTAGGGTAGGATTTAAGGGCGGGGCGGGGGGGGGGGGCAGGTGGAGGATATTTGGGATCAGAAAAAGCATGCTCAGTGTGTCACAGACTAAATCCCCTAATGCAGGGGAGGAAAGCACAAGGGGCTGCTGAACTCGGAGCCAGGATGGTGAGGCGCAGATTGGAATCTTCAGACGTCAGCAAGGTGGGGACAGGCTAGAGATGCATCTCGTGAGAATCGGGGGGAGGGGGAGGAAGCTTGTCATTTTGGACAGAATACCACCATGCTGCCAGCCACGCAGGTCCTACCAAGTGCCGGTTTCCTAGACTGACAGGAGCCTTTACCTCATCTCTCCAGTCAGCATACCGGAGACAGCTGGCTAACAACACAACACGGTCAAATGCTCATCATTCATACAGTCAGTGGCCAGCAGGAAAATCAGTGAAAGGGGCTGGAGAGATGGCTCAGTGGGTCAGAACACAGTCTGATCTTGCAGAGGATCCAGGTTCGAGTCCCAGTACCCACAACTTCCTGTGACTCCAGCTCCAGGGAGATCTTATGCCTAGTTGCATATCACGGCCCTCGGGAGGCACAGACAGGGGGTTCCAGGGTGGCCAGAGCTACACAGTGAGGCAAAACAAACAAAAAGCCCAGCTAAGGCAAGGGATTGTCAAAGAGGCTTAGCAAGTAAAGATATTCGCAAACTTGCCACCAGGTCTAATGACCCAAGTTCAGTCCCTGGAACCAACGTGTTAGAAGGAGAGAACTGACACCAGCAAGGTGTCCTCTGACCTTCATGTGCACCCCGTGGTGAGTGTACAGGAGGGCACACACGCACAGGCACACACACGTTAAATACACAAACAAATAGCATCAGAAACTATCTAGACCTTATAAAACTGCAATCCGCACACATCTCCTTATTTTGTCTTTCTTCCCATCCACTGATATTTCAGTCCATTTTCTAGACTAGAAGATGGAGACCCAGCGTACTGAAAAAAAGAAAAAAATGGGGATTTTACTTCTCAGCAAGGGTCTCAGGGCTCTGTTTGATTGTGTATGTATGTATGTGTGTGTGTGTGTTCATATGGATTCGGGTGCACATGTGTGTTCATATGCACATGCACAGGTGTGTGCATTCACGGAGATAGGAAACCTCTCGAGTCTTTCAACAGGCACCATTCAACTTTTTAGGGCTCTCTTATTGCTCTGGATTCCTCTAAATAGGCTAGTCTAGTTGGCCAGGGAGCCCCAAGAACTCACCTTTCCCCACCCTCCCAGGGCAGGGATTCCAAGCCAGTGCCACCACACCCACAGACTTTTTACAGGGGTTCTGGGGGCGAGACTCGAGTCCGAATGTTTGCCAGGCAAGCGTTTTGCCGATTGAGCCATCTCCCCAGCCCAGTTTTCCAACCGTCTTTTAATGACATGATGTCAGCTGCCCTCTCCCAAGGTAGTTTTCTCAAACAACTGATGTATTTATTCGTGATTTATTCCTCCCACGAGTATTTATTGAGGGCCTACTTTGTGCTAGGTCAGCAGCCAGAACTAGGTGTGTGATCCTGAGCTCTCTGTCCCCAAGCATTCAGGGAAGACATTCCAAAGGGAGAAAGGACTTCCCCACCTCCTACCCCACCCTGGTCCTTTGGCTTGTCTTTGCTGGTTAGTAAATGCCTTGACTTCCCCAACATACATTCTTCAAGCCACAGAGCATTGTAATCCTTTGCTATGTTGGCAACATAACCACTTATTACCAGCGCGAGATGTGTTTTGGGTAGGTCTGACTTTGGCAAGGGGCTAGCCTCATATCCAACTTAAAGTCCTGTATCTCTGGGACTTTTTATTTGAGAAATTGGGGCCAAGGCCACAACCACATACAGAGAAGCAAAATTTCCTGCCTTTCTAATGTGATGTGAAATAAAGCAGATCCGTATCTGCAATTACTGCTGAGAGCCGGATCAGGCTGACGGCGTTGGTGCGCATGCGTGCGTGCGTGCACATGTGTGCGTGTGCGGGCATGTGTGTGCGTGTGTGTGTGCGTACGTGTGCTTTCTGGGAAGGTAGTAAAGCAAGGTGGTTGGGAATACGATAACTTCTGTGCTGAAAAGAGTTTAAAATATCCCTGGGGGTGGGGCAGCAAGACTGTACAGTGGGCAAAGGCGCTTACTGCCAAGCCTGATGACAGGAGTTCAATCCCCAAGACCCATGTGGTAAGAGAGATTCAGTGCCCACCAGTTGTCCACACACATACTGTGGTGTCCACACACACACACACACACACACACACACACATACACACACACTCTAAATGTAATTTTTAAAATGTTTTTAATTTCCCTGGGGAGATGATTCAATCAGCTAAGTGTTTGCCATACAAGCACTAGGAGCTGAGTGCAATGCCCAGGACCCAGGTAAGAAACCTAGATCAGGAGGCACAGGGCACCCATGATCCCAGCACTTGGGAGGCAGTCACAGGAGGATCCCTCCCTAGGGCTTGCTACCCAGCGAGGCTAGCTGAATGAGAGAGCTTCAGGTTCTAGGAAGACCTCCAGCCTCCACAGACACACAAACACATACACACACACATACAGAAAATATAGGTTTTTTTTTAATTTCCCTGGAGGAACATCAGCTATGTTTGAGGTTATGCGCCATGCACAAGAGAATAATACCGGGCTGAGGCAAAAGTCCCCTAAAGAGCAGCCCTATAAAGGTGTGTTACTATGGCCAGCAGACACACACTCGGGATTTCAAAGGAGTGGAACCCCGCCGTGTGTGGTGTCTGTCTTCTACTTTCTTCCCCTTGGTAACTTCTGAGCACCCCTCCCCCACACACACACAATAAAACATTTATGAAACTCTCGCAGCAGAGAGTTAGGAATAG